ACGGTAATAGAGTTTTGGGGGGTAGGGAAAAAGTAAAGGAAGAGAAGAAAATTTTATAAGTGTAAATGGAAAAGATGTAGTCGAAGTTGCTTTCCGAGGCCGCTGGGAGTAAGATTTCCCGCATGGTAATTAAAAGGTGTGCGCGGCGCTTGGCGCCACGGACTATAATAATCTAACGGTACGTTCTACCTCAGGTAATGTGAAGTATGCTACCTCCTAACCAGCATTTCAATTTTCTGGGAAATTCAAGAAACCTACAGGTTGACAATCTGGTTTTTCCGTAATAAGTTCAATGATTAAACAGCTTAGAAAAATCTACGGGTATAAATCAAAACACTCATAAATACGGTAAAATAAAAACGCATTAAGCATTTATTAAAGTATATTTAACTGCGTTTCCTTATACCCCACACATAAAACCCTATCACCACCGTTTTCGTAGGAAAGCATGCAGGGAGTAGGGATAGGTAAATGGGCCTACATAAGCTACTATTGTCGCCGATTCTAAATAATGTAAAATGGATTGACAGAACTGGCATTAGAGGTTCTAAATTCCATCGACACATTACAAAAAACTGTTTTGAATTTTCTGCCGCCCCAATTTTCCTTTTTTCGTTAACTTCCACTAATTGGAGATCGGAATTCCATTATCGTGAAATTTTCCCAAAAAAGTTCACAATTTTCTCAATTGGCATCCGTGTCCTGCGAAATCGGAGTTCATATTGATCGAATTTATTCTATTATAAAATAGTAAACCAAGCATAACCTTATTTTATTTATTGTTTGAACTTTTCCGTCACAATTCAATATTCATTTGCACTCACTAGCCAAGAATTAACTGTTTGACCACAAAATATGTTAGGCGATTGGGCGGGGGTAATAGATATTTAGATAGCTTACAAGTTAGTTTTGCCAATGCATATAATACGTATTTGCAAATTTTCTCTTAAAAATTTCGCATGAAACATGTTATTTTAGGTCCTTGTGTTGCCGGAGTGATTGGTCTCACACGGCCTAGATACTGCCTCTTCGGGGACACTATTAACACTGCCTCCAGGATGGAATCAACCGGCGAAGGTACAATACTTCTGGTCTGTTAAGCTTGTTATCAACTGTTCGCCGTGAATCACACCGAGAATCCTTAAATATGCAACAAGGAATCGAAAAGAAGCGAATGGAACTAAGTTTTTATTAGTATTTCAGAAAATTTGACCTGTAGGCTGGGGGTCAGAAAAGAGGGGGGCGGGAAGGAATAGTTTGTTGGGAGCCTTCAAGTTACTGTCTAGCGTTTCAACTGCCACTACTGACTATTGACCTTCTGAAACTGGTGCCCTGCCTGAACATGTCGCAAAATAAGGTTCGTAGGTCGCGCATTCCAGTGGTTTTGAAGTCTAATTTAGCTATATTGCCATCCGGGGAACTGCAAAGCCTCACTGCCATATACTGCCCGTTTTGACGTCGCGCACATCCAACATCATCATCCCGCATCTTATGGTGGGTGGTGTCTTGTGCCTCCCCTCCAAATGCTGACTTAAGTTCTTAGTTCGTGGATGATGCCAGATGCCGCAGAATAATGCTTCTTCACGGGCAAGCCGAGATAGTTCCTAAATATTATCTCAGCACGATGGGAAGTTAATTAGTATAGTTAGTTGGAGGCATAAGGCAAATAAACAGGAACTTATAACGTTTTCTGTGTGTGT